CTTTTCCTTGGAGAAAATGGACTGGGACAAATTACACACAAAAAGCTAAAATCTCCAGCACCAGTGGTTGAAAAACAATCGAGCCTGCATTAGCAGTTCCTTTGCCCACAGAATGCTCTCTGAGGAACTACGGGGTTTGGAAAAAGTGCAGGCCTCTATTCTTCATCCACGACACATCAAAGTTGTAATAAAAACCTGCTTTTCTTTGTGCAACTAAGCTACTGCTATTTCACACCCACATATTGCTGGAGCTTATTCAATTACCCTCAATGACTTTGTTTAAAATGAAAATGCTTTGCCTCCTAAGGACAGTGTGAGAGGACTGATTAATGTTGCTCCCTGAAGAACAGAAGTGTAGGTACACAGACAAAAACCTAAAGAGCTGGAAACTACTGCTGGGCCATGTTTCACAAGCAATTCAAATCTACCTTCAAGTATTTTGTAAAGCGTAAGGACTCCTAAGGCAGTTGGATATATCAGGGGGCATCCTATGCCGTTTTTCCTCTTTCTTCTTGATGACAATCACAGAATTAGAAAATTAAGAGGATGACAAGAAGTGAGAAAGAAAACTAAATTTTGCCATATGGTTTTTCAGGAGACAAGGAAACAGTTCTTTCCCCCTCCCCCCACCCCGACACATGGTTCCAAAAGATCTGTAACTAACGAACCAAGCCAGCACGTTGCTGGGTTCTGGAGCTCTGTGACTCAGAAGTCACTTTTCTATCCAACATATTAAATGTCAAGTAAAATACATCCGATAAGAGAGATGAAATTTTTTCGGGAAGCTTGGCCACTGAGTGAGTGTCTCTCCTTTGCAAATGAGCCCTGTATGTTGCATCTGTTTTTTAGTCAGATTGCCAACCTATAAGAGATAAAACATCCACCCAAGAGCTGCATTAAAAAGCATAAATCATGGAGACCATATCTAGTCCTCTATAAATCCCTTCAAAAAGAACTTTATCCATAATCATAATAAAGGTCTGTTTCATTTAAGAAAGAAAAAAACCCAAACAGAAACACATGCAGATAGAAAACAGAGAGAAGATGAAAGAATCACAGTGATATTTTTATGCATGCATAGTATGCGAAATTTGGAGATGAAGAGTCCCGACAGAATGCTTGAAGAATCTGTAATACACAAGAATATATAGGTTCCAGGCTGCACATAATCAGAAAGGGCAGTATTTATCCATCATCTGTCATCGGCTCTCATTTCGCAAAGCTTGAAGATTAGAACCCCTGATGTCAAAAGAACTGAAAATATTTAGAGCTAGTTCTTGCATGGCTCCGTGAAGAAGGGGATGAGGGAAGAAAGAATTATATTAGGACTACACTTCACTACTCTTTTTTATAGTAGATTGTTTTCTTTAAGAGGAGCATAAGCTATGATTAAAGTGGCAGAATTTTGGTGCCTCTAACACCTGGTATGGAAGCAGAGTAACAAGAAATACTTGGCAACCCGATTATTTCATGCAGGTTTTCATCTACCCAGAAAGTTGTCCTCAAAATAGAATGGAACTTTTTCTCCTTTATCAATCTGGGAGGTGCCTGGGGCAAAGTAACCAAGAACCTGAGAGTGTTGTTGATCTGTATTCTCAACAAACAAAATCTAAATACACTATGATCCAAGGAGTTTAACAAATAGCTTCCTAATTTTATTCAATTACTTAATGGTATATTCAGCTTATATTACACTGCTGTCTTGATGTGAGGCTGAAAAGAAACAAGATTTGTCCCTAGAGAGACATGGGGTTATTGAGCTGTGTTCCCAGAAGTGGGAGGATGGATTAGATAACTGATCTTTCTATAGTTTTAAGGAATATTTTAATTCAACTGTGAAATAATGGGAGAATAAAACAAATTCAAGATCATCACTATCTAGGGATTTGCGGAGGTTAGATGTATATCCTGAAAATAATAGCTAGGGAGAAGGAAATCTAAGAAAATTTTTACCTTAGGGTGCTAAAAACTTAATATTTTAGAAATAGCAAAAGGCTCATTTATTTCTTATAAATTTTTAACCAAAGACATTTACTGTTACTGAATAGGCTGAAATAGTAAGATTTTTATACTTTCACATATTGGGGTCTCAGGAGTAAACATTTACTAGGGATCACTATGGGAAATGCAATTCTTCCCATCAAGAACAACTGTGGAGACAAAACATTCCATCCAAAATGGATTATCAGGACTCAACTTGTACAAAACAATGCACAAATCAGACTCTTTCTGTTGTCATTCCAAGTGGGGGAGGGGTCAGCATGAAGCAGGGTTGCTATGGGAAGGTTTCTGCGCTATGAACCTTGACTTGAGGAATGTCCAAGGATGAAAAGGTCAGGAGTCATAAGAAAGGGGGATGGGGCCTTGCAGGTAGAGGAGTCAGCATAAGCCCCCTTTGTAGGTTACAGTGAATGACATTTGGAGACTGGCTGAGGCTAAAAAGCTGGGGCAGACTGTAGAAAGCAAAGCTACCATTATTGAGAGCTAAACATGCCAGGCACAAAGCTAAACATTTCCTTTACTTTTTTCCCTAATTTAATTTTAATAAAACTGAGCCCCAGGCCACAGGCTCAGATTGCTTCTCTTTGTTAGCCACACTCACTTCCTAGATGACCACATACAATCTCTCAGTTTTAGTGCCACTTGTACTTGGATGACTCTCAAATCACCACCTTCAGCCTGGACATTTCCTCCAAGCTCTGGACTTACACGTCCGGCTGCCTATTTCACATTTTCACATGTATGCCTGAAGGGTATCTTAAACTTAACGTGCCTAAAACCTAATTCCTGCTTTCCATCTATCCCCCAAACAAAACAAACAAGAGAGAAATAACTGCTCCTCCTCATCCACCTTCCAAACACATCCAGAAACCAACCACTTCTCACCACCTCCACACCTACCACAGCAAGCCACCCCCATCTCCAGCCTGAATCACTGGGGCAGCCTCCAAGCTCCTAGCGAGGATGGGTGTGAACCTCCCCTCCAGAGCCCCACTGAGTCTATGCATTCCAAACCTGTCCTTTGTAGGACAGGCTCCAGCCATCAGCACTGTTGTCTGAGGTAGAGACAAAGAGTTAAGAGTAATTCTTTGACAGGTGACAGCAGAAACAGATGCTGAGTGAATCTAAAAGGAAAACTGCAGGGTGGGGTTGAGGGTGTCAAGGATGGGATATTTGAGGACATCCACAGGGGAATAAAAGAAGTCCCACTCTTAAGAAACATCACACTGTTGGCTAGGCGCATGGCTCACGCCTGTAATCCCAACACTTTGGGGGGTTGAGGCGGGTGGGTCACTTGAGGTTAGGAGTTCGATATCAGCCTGGCCAACATGGTGAAACCCTATCTCTACCAAAAATACAAAAATTAGCCGGCGTGGTGGTGCATGCCTGTAATCCCAGCTACCCGGTAGGCTGAGTCAGAAGAATGGTTTGAACCCGGGAGGCAGAGGTTGCAGTGAGCCAAGATCAAGCCACTGTACTCTAGCCTGGGCGACAGAGCAAGACTCCGGCTCAAAAAAGAAAAAAAAAAAAAGAAACATCACATTGTAGGTCAAATGTCCCCCGCCTTGAGCAGCCTTTCTTGACTCCCCAGGCAGAGCTGAAGGCTCAATTACAGGCTTGGAAATCACCGGATGCCTGTGCTAAGAGCCTCCTCCACGAGAATCTGAACTCGTTTTGTGCCTCCAGCACCTGATGCCTACCTGGTAAGCCCTTGGCAAAACTGTGCTGAATGTTTAACATGGTGTCACGGACAGTGAGTTAGGAACTTGGAGAGGAAGTGGCTGCTTTCTTCTGGAAGAGCTCATTAAGACTTTACACAGGAGGTGAGGTTTGCAAGATAGAAAAAGGTATTTCAGTTTATCCAGGAAGTTAGCACTGATGGCCCAGCAAGGAACAGCAGTGGTGTGGAAAGACGGAGGGCGAGGCCCGAAGGAAGCGAGGAAGGGAAGCCGCGGCAGCAGTGCTGGGCTGTGGTGCTGAAAAGTAGGCTAGCACTGGGCAGCCGAAGACAGCAGCGAGGCAAAGGAAGAGTTGTTCCCTCCCCTCCAGGACCGGTGGTGGGAAGCAGGGTGGAGGTGGGGGGGGATGTCTAAAAGAAAGGACGAATAGCCAGGCAACAGAAAGTAGTTGCTTTGGAGAACGTGGTTGAGGCTGGAAGCAGGAGTTGATGGGTAAAAGGATGAGGAGAGCTCATACCTGTGGTTCTTTTCATTTCCTTGTATGACGCAAATTACCGAGCTCCAAAAAGGAGATGAGCCCAAAACCTTAACAATCAGAGGCTAAAACTGGACTAATCAAGTAGGTGTGAGCCAATAAGTTAATGAGGTAGGAGGCACAACACGGTCGAGAATTATAAGACAAACCCAGGTTTTTACTTGGGTCCTCGAGGATCCAATTAACTTCTCATTAAGTGGGGCTGGGTGCTCGGCTTCTCACCGGGCGCCAGCCTCCAAGCCCCCAGCCAACGCCTGGAATGGGACTCCAGGGAAATTCGGCCAGCTGGTGGATCTTCAGCGAGATGACGGCAGTGGCGTGGACAGGCCATTCACGGCGATACCCACCCAGCTCTGTCCAGGCCTCGAGCGGACGGCTGGGAGCAGCACAGCACACGAATGGCAGCCGCAACGCCTTCCTTTCCCTTTCCGTGCCTATCACGCAAACCCTCCCCTACTAAAATGTACCCTCCGTGAGAATAGGGCTCCGTCCTTCTTCGCCGGATGCGCGGAGCCTAGAACGGCGCCTGGCCACGGCGACGCCCAACAAATACTGGCTGAATAGTGAATGCACTCCGCTCGGCCGCACTTCAGTCTATCTGGGCACTGAAGAATGCGACCCGTGGAGCCGCCTAAGAGAGCACAGGGGGAAGAGAAGAAGCGGAAGCCTTTTCTTCCGCGGAGGTCCCCGCAGGGCGACCTGCGGGACCCGAGCGCCGGGCTCCGTAGCGGGGTCGGGAGGGGGATTCTGGTCCCAGGCCCAAGACCGATGGCTTTGCAACTGACCTTCTGGCGGGGGCGCCCGCGCGGGGCACAGCAGCCAGGCTCCGGCGTCCCGCTCCCGCCGCCCCCCGGCGGCGCCGGGCGCCCACTGCGCACGTAGGTCACCTGCCTCCTGCTGGCGCCACGCGGCGAGCCTGGCGCAGGCTGCAGGTGCGGCCCACGTGGCCGCCAGGCCGGGCCCGGCAGGGCGCTGCGGGCTGGGGACCCGGACCCGGCGCGCCGCAGGTCCGCGCACAGCCGCAGGCCGAGCAACAGCGCGGCGCCGAGTAGACACCGGCGCAGGGTGCCGCAGCCCCTCCGGGGAGGCCTCTCCCGGGCCATGGCGCTACCCATGGGGTCCCGCGGGCCCCGCCTGACCGGCAGCAGTGATGTAGCCCCGCAGGCCGGAGCGGCCAGCTGTGGGAACTCCCCCGCGGGCCGGGGCGCGGGCTCAGACCCGCCTCCCTCCCTCCCGACCGAGGAAGCCTCGGCGTAACCTTATCCTGTCCTGCCGAAAGCGCCCTGCCGCTGGAAGGGTGGTGGGCCGAGCGCGGTAACAGGGCGCCCTCTCCGTCCCTCCGGAGGTGCCAGGGCCCGGTTGTGCAGGGTCCCTCAAGAGGTGCCCTCCGCCCCGGCCTCCAAAGCCTGACGGAGCTGAAAGATATAGGGCCAGAAAAAGCGCATTCCTAACGGGATCCCGGGCCATAGCTTCATTTTCTGATATTAGTGTTGTTGGAGAAACATAGGAGGAGGGTAGGTGAGCATACAAGGAACAGTCAAGCAGTTTGCACCATTAAGCACAATATAAAAATAAATAGCACTTAAGCCCGGGTTTACAACTTCTCTCTCTCTCTCTCAAGAAAGAAGGGATTGGGGAGAAGAGAATAGCACTCAATGCAGAATAATCAAATTAGAGTTATTCTATATCTAAATTCTGCCTGAAGCCAATTCGTACTTTCTTTCCGTGTTATGAAATGTGTGGGGGTGAACAAGGAGAGGGAAAAAGCCAGCTAAGACATCTGACAGCGGGTGGGGGGTGGGGGTGGGGAGAGAACAGAAGTTACCATGGCATGATGTAAATCAAATTAATTTAGCTCCAAACACACACCTCCCTGCTGTCTCGCAGAAACACAGAGGGACAAATTTATCTTTCGGCAAAATGCTCCCCAGCTGGTATTTCCATCACCACCTTGACCTTAATTAATCAGACTGAACTCTCACAGTCTGAAGTCCAGTGGTGGATGTTCCATTTTCAACTGTTAGTAGAATCCTTTCCCACAACCCAGTTGGGGTGGGTTTGGGTTTTAGGTTTGAGTTTGGGTTTAGAATTTTTAAAGCGGTGGTCACTTTTCTTTTTTTCCTTGCTTTACTCTTTCATTTTCCATGCTTCCGTGGGAGACTGCGCCTGCCGACCTATTCTCTTCCCCGGTAACAGCCTACAGCATGGACAAGAGACAACAAATACGGAGCCCTACCTCCCTGCCCGTGTGAATGTTGGGTATTTTCTGTAGGGAGGCCTCGTCTCTAAAATCCTCTTCTCTTCCTGGCTTAAGAAAGACCCAATTTATTCCCTGCTAGTGAACAAAGCAGTTGGGCTGTTTCTCTACATTTAACAAAATATCTCCACCCAATCTAGTCCACCCCCTAGCCACACCGGGTCCTCAGGATCCTGAACGTTCCATTAGGGTTGACTTTTGCTTTTTTCTTAGATGAGTCCAGGGGATATTGCAGATGGATTCTATTTTAACAAATTTAAACAAGTACGAGTTTTTCCTTACACAAACTGAGAGCCAGCCTCACATCCTGTGACTATTTACTTGAACTGTGTTTGAACCAGGACCCTGCCATTCAAGCACTGTGAGACTTTCAACAAAGTACTGGACCTCTCTGAGTTTCTGTTTTCCCATGAATAAACAGACCTATATATATGGCAGGATTATAAATGTTACATAAAATATTATATATTTCATGCCCAAATAATACCTGGCTCACAGAAGGGTCTCAGTAGTAATTATTTTTTTTTATTTACCATTAAAGAAAATCCTGGATGTTGTCATGAAAAAGAAAAGGTAAGCATTGATTCCAAAGTGGGCAAAGATAAAGTATAAGGAAATTTACAAATAATTTATACAGTATTCTCTGGAATTCAGAGTACCCAATAATTTCAAGAAAATAACCATTAAGCATCAAGAAACGAACTCTGTTAATATGTATAAGAGTTTGTAGGGTGCTTGATAAACCTGGATTGGTAATGTCTGGTGTAGACTTTACTGGAAATTTTATTTTCTATGCAGTCAACACAGTACCGCTAACTAGAGAAGTAATCTTTTAAAGATCATGGTGCCACTAGCGTGTACCCTCTGCTCCTCTGTTGAGTTTCTCTCTGGGGGTGGGAGGAAGTATAAGCAGTATTTTATGTTATTAAAATGGGGATATTTAATAAGACTCTGGGCTGGGGGTGGAGGATGGAGTGGGGGTGCATACAAAACAGTGTAGTTCTGGAAGAGAATGGGCAGGATGACCTCATATTTTCCTTTATCTCATTTCTACAGTTCTCTAATAAAATGTTTTCATTATGGAAAAAATGTCAAATTACATGGAATATTTAAATAGCCTTTTATCTTTTGCAGTTGTGTTTGTGTCTATGTGTTTATTACTAATAAAAAGGAACTGTTTATATGTATGTAGCATCAATTTTCTGGAAGAAATCTATTTTTAACTTCCACACAGTATTTTCCTGTGTTGTGGATAATAATGAATAGTAAAATGGGTCAGTCTGTGGGCTGAAGAGGCAAATCTAATGGATCACTGTTGTAGCTGACAAGCAAGCTTTCATTCACGACCTTTGCTTTTCTTATAGAGTTGAACTTGTCTCAGTCCTTTCTGGATGTGTCTCAAAAATGCAGATAATCATTAACCACTGTGTCATAGGTTGGTTAATTAGACAAGCAGGTCAGTAAACCACAATAGCAGCTTTCATCAGATCACAAATTACATCCTCCTAGAGGTTTTAGCCAAGAAAATGCATGAAATAGAACATTTCTAATCCCCTAAACAACATGCATTTCAACTTGGACACCTGCTGTAGTGCAGCGATTCTCAATCAGGGTTGGTTTTGCCCCCCAGGGGACATTTGGCAATGTCTGAAGACGTTTTTGGTTATTACCACTAGGGGACGCTACTGGCATCTAATGGCTACCTATTAACCAGGGATACGGCTAAGCATCCTCCAATGCAAAATATAGCCTTCCACAACAAATACTTGTCCAGCCCAGAATGTCAGGAGAGCAGAAGCTGAGAAAACCTGCTGTAACTCTAGATGCTAATGTGGCCATTTTAAATTATAGACTGTCCAAAGAGAAAACAGAGCCGACAGTATCCTCACCTCCATCAAATGGTTATTTTTATCTCACAATGTGACATACCCAGTGTGTTAGTCCTTTTTTTGTGTCACTATAAAGAAATAACTGAGGCTGAGTAACTTATAAACAAAAGAGGTTTAATTGGCTCTTGGTTCTGCATGCTGTACCTGAGGCATAGTGCCAGCATCCGCTTTTGGTGAGGCCTCAGGAAGTTTACTGTCATGGCAGAAGGCAAAGGGTGAGCCAGTGCATCACATGGTGAGAATGGGAGCAAGAGAGAAAGGAAGGAGCTGCCAGCCTCTTTTAAACAACCAGATCTCCCATGAACGAATAGAGCAAGAACTCACTTATCACAAAGAGGGGATGGTGCTAAGCCATTCGTGAGGGATCCACCCCCAAGATCCAATATTTCCCACTAGGCCCCACCTCCAACATTGGAGGTCACATTTCAATATGAGATTTGGAGGAGACAAACATCCAAACCATATCACCCGGTCTGAATTAAAGTAATCAAATTTACGAAAAAATGAAGTTAGAATGTCTGGCATCAACATCCCCCATCTCCTCATCACCTTTTCTCTATGTACATGCTCACTGTGGAAAATATACACACGCAAAAGAAGATACCAACATTCATAACATGGTTCAGATATAGCTATCCTACACATGTAGATGGTTTTCAAAAATGAAATCATATTATACATATTTCTTTATAATGTGCTTTTGTAACATAATATGTTATATAGTTTATGTATTAAATAATATGTTGTTTGAAATTTGATTAACAACAATCTAGTGGGGAGATGGGAGAGAAGTGGGAGTGTAAATGAAGCAAGAATGATTGTGAGTTGATCATTGTTGTAGCTAGATGATGGGTTCACAGCTCTTTATTTTTGAGCATATTTGAAATTTTCCATAAGGAAAATGTCCTTAAGCAGTAACCTGTTAACTACAACATGTACCATATTAATCATTCTTCCATTGTTGAACAATTGGATAATTACCAGTTTTTCATTTTTATAAACAATGCTGTGATGGACATCTTTGTAGCTAAATCTGATGGAGCAGATGTGCCGTGTGAGAGAAAGAAAGAAGTCAAGAATGATTCCGAGGTTTTTCCTGAGTAACTGGAAGAATGAAGTTGCTGTTAGCTGAGAAGGGAAAAACTCAACTCAGAGCAATTAGAGTCGAAAATCCAGTATGATTTTGGTAGTCCCATTCAGTTTGGGAAACCTACTGGACATCCAAATGGAGATGTGACATAGGCAGTTGGATGTAAAAGACTGAAATTCAGGGGAGTGGTGAGGGCTGGAAATAGAAAATTGGATCGTCAGCATACAGGTGTGAAATATCTGAAGGCTTAATTCTGGGATTCACCAGTTTAAAGTCAGGAAGATGAGGATCCAACAAAGGGTACTGAGACAGATAAGCAGTGAGGTAAGAGAATGTGGTGTTCCAGAATCCAAATGAAGAAAGTATTTCTAGAAGTAACAGACTGAGAGGTCTAATAAGATGTGGACTGGAAACTGACTGTAAGATTTGGTAACATAATGCCTTGTTTATGATGTCTTCCCCAACTAGAATGTAAGTTCCATGAGGTCAGGAACTTTGTTTCCATTGATTATTGCTATAATCCTGGTGCCTAGAACAGTATCTGGCATATAGTGTATGCTTGATAAATAGTTGTTGAATTGAAGAGTGAGGAATGAATCAAGTCTGCGTGCATTCATAGTTATTTTGTCACATTAAATTCTTAAAAGTGGAATGCTACATGAAGGCAAAATCATAAGTCTTTCAGTGTGAAGTGCTATCATTAATTTTTAAGTCCACCAAAAAAGGCTGTTTTAATCCCATTTAAAGCCATTAAATATTCCTTTGTTATTGTTGGGAAACCTCAAAGGGTACCCTTGAGCCAGCCCCTAACAGAAGAATGAACTAAGCGAAGTTTATTTTTAGTTCCCTCTTATTCTCCTGTTGCTACACTTGAACCCATTCTTCAACTCCCCTCAAATGCCAATCCCAAGCCACATCCCAGATAGGATTTGTGTTCACTGGACTGTCAATTAGTTTTCTCCTCTCCACCCTAAAGATGTAGCTAAATATTAAG